GACGGAAGGAGCGCGAGTCGCCGCTGGCTGGGGTCAGCACGCGCGGCTTCTCGAGCAGGTAGTTTGTCACGCGGCCGCCGACAATGCCCCCGGAGGGCGAGAGCTCGACCGTCATGTACTTGCCGAAGCGCGACGAGTTGTCGTTGCGCACCGTCTTTGCGTTCCCAAACGCCTCGAGGAGCGGGTTCGAGCCGAGCAGCTTCTCGTGGATGGGACTGCGCGAGGCAGTGGCGCCGCCGCCGCTGGAAGAGGATGTCGCAGCAATGTACTCGAGCAGGCGCTTGGCCGCCTCCGTCTTGCCCGCGCCGCTCTCGCCGCTCACCAGGATGCACTGCCGAGAGCACGCGCCGCCGGCGTGGCTCGCCTTGAGAGCGGTGTCGGCCACGGCAAAGACGTGAGGCGGAAGCTCGTGTCGCGTCTGGTACTTGTTTCGCAGGCCGACGCTGTACAGGCCGTCGATGGGCTTGAAGGGGTTGACCGAGATCACCACAGGGCCAAGCCCGGTGTATATGCGGCCCTTCTTGAATAGAGCTTCAAGGTTGGCGACGACAGCCGCCTCGCCCACCTCCTCGAGCAGGACGAGGTCGTCAACGCATCCAGCGGTGAGGAGCCGGGCGTCCATGAATGGAGAGCACCCTCGCCTCGAGCAGAGCGAGCGGGAGGCCCTGAATGGAGAGCACCCTCAATTCCCAATGGCGAGCGGTCGCGGCAACTTCAGCCGCATTTTTTGGTTTTTCTTTTTTGTGACCGACTCGGTTTTCTCGGGTTTTCTAAAAAGTATTATCCTAACGGTGTGGGGGCGCGGAGGGCTTGTTGGCGAGCCAAAATGGTGTTTTCCGAGGCGCTGCGCTAGGCTCAGAGCGAGTTCGCGCTGCGCTAGGCTCAGACGGCGAGTTCGCGCTGCGCTAGGCTCACAGATGCGAGTGCGCTGCGATAGAAGAAAAAAACAGGGTCGAAACGACAACCGAAGGGAGGACTGTGTAGTGTAATCATGTGTCAAGAATCACGTGCTGCTGCTGCTGCTGCTACTGCTGCTGCGGCGCGGCGAGCGCCGTCGCCGAGGCGGGCCTCGGCGGAGAGCGCGATTATGCGGCCTTTTCCGCGACCCGCACAAAGAAGAGGCGCCCTCCGTCAGCCTCGACCTGCCACCGGCTCGCGTCGACCGACCCGGCCGCGTGCCACACCTCCACAGCCCAGTGCGCCAGCCCGCAGAAGTTGCCCTCCTCGATGCCCCATCCCGTGGGCCACGCGGCCAAGGCGGTGCCGAGAGGCGGCGGCGGCGCCGCGGTCGCCTCGAGACGCGCCGCGACGGCGTCAAAGGCGATCCGCCTCGCGCCCGTCGCGGCCGCCTCGGCCAGCAGCGCCTCCCCGGCCAGCCGCGGGAGGTCGCCCTCCGTCTCGAACCAGCACGACGAGCGGCCGTCGGCGCACGCCTCGTCCCACGCCTTGAGCTGGCGGACAAAGGCCGCCAAGCTCTTGAGGCCGGGCGAGGGCGCGGCGGGCGACGGGGCAAGGGAGCAGCCGGGCGAGGAGAGGTAGGAGGTGCTCGCCGGCGAGCGCTCCCGCGCCTGCGAAGGGGCAAGGCCTGAGGGCGGGCGGGCGGTCGGGCGGGCGGGCGCGGGTGGGGGGGATAAACGCTGCGCCGCCAAAGGAACCAGCGACACTGGCCGCGGCTCGTCGCCACGCGCCGGCTCGAAAGAGGGGCTGTCGGCGGCGAAGCAGAGTGGCACGCCTCGCCGCTCGA